CAGCTCTTCCTCTACCAGCTCTTCCTCTACCTCTCACTCTTCCTCTACCAGCTCTACCTCTACCTCTCACTCTTCACTCTTCCTCTACCAGCTCTTCCTCTACCTCTCACTCTTCCTCTACCTCTCACCTCTTCCTCGACCAGCTCTACCTCTACCTCTCACTCTTCCTCTACCTCTCACTCTTCCTCTACCAGCTCTTCCTCTACCTCTCACTCTTCCTCTACCAGCTCTGCCTCTACCTCTCACTCTTCCTCTACCAGCTCTACCTTCTACCTCTCACTCTTCCTCTACCAGCTCTACCTCTACCTCTCACTCTTCCTCTACCAGCTCTACCTCTACCTCTCACTCTTCCTCTACCAGCTCTACCTCTACCTCTCACTCTTCCTCTATCTCTCACTCTTCCTCTACCTCTCACTCTTCCTCTACCAGCTCTACCTCTACCTCTCACTCTTCCTCTACCAGCTCTACCTCTTCCTCTACCAGCTCTTCCTCTACCTCTCACTCTTCCTCTACCAGCTCTACCTCTACCTCTCACTCTTCCTCTACCAGCTCTTCCTCTACCTCTCACTCTTCCTCTACCAGCTCTTCCTCTACCTCTCACTCTTCCTCTACCAGCTCTTCCTCTACCAGCTCTTCCTCTACCTCTCACTCTTCCTCTACCAGCTCTTCCTCTACCTCTCACTCTTCCTCTACCAGCTCTTCCTCTACCAGCTCTTCCTCTACCTCTCACTCTTCCTCTACCAGCTCTTCCTCTACCTCTCACTCTTCCTCTACCAGCTCTTCCTCTACCAGCTCTTCCTCTACCTCTCACTCTTCCTCTACCAGCTCTTCCTCTACCTCTCACTCTTCCTCTACCTCTCACTCTTCCTCTACCAGCTCTTCCTCTACCTCTCACTCTTCCTCTACCTCTCACTCTTCCTCTACCAGCTCTTCCTCTACCTCTCACTCTTCCTCTACCAGCTCTTCCTCTACCTCTCACTCTTCCTCTACCTCTCACTCTTCCTCTACCAGCTCTTCCTCTACCTCTCACTCTTCCTCTACCAGCTCTACCTCTACCTCTCACTCTTCCTCTACCAGCTCTACCTCTACCTCTCACTCTTCCTCTACCAGCTCTACCTCTACCTCTCACTCTTCCTCTACCAGCTCTACCTCTACCTCTCACTCTTCCTCTACCTCTCACTCTTCCTCTACTCTCACTCTTCCTCTACCAGCTCTACCTCTACCTCTCACTCTCCTCTACCAGCTCTACCTCTTCCTCTACCAGCTCTTCCTCTACCTCTCCCTCTTCCTCTCCCAGCTCTACCTCTACCTCTCACTCTTCCTCTACCAGCTCTTCCTCTACCTCTCACTTCCTCTACCAGCTCTTCCTCTACCTCTCACTCTTCCTCTACCAGCTCTTCCTCTACCAGCTCTTCCTCTACCTCTCACTCTTCCTCTACCAGCTCTTCCTCTACCTCTCACTCTTCCTCTACCAGCTCTTCCTCTACCAGCTCTTCCTCTACCTCTCACTCTTCCTCTACCAGCTCTCCTCTACCTCTCACTCTTCCTCTACCAGCTCTTCCTCTACCAGCTCTTCCTCTACCTCTCACTCTTCCTACCAGCTCTTCCTCTACCTCTCACTCTTCCTCTACCAGCTCTACCTCTACCTCTCACTCTTCCTCTACCAGCTCTTCCTCTACCTCTCACTCTTCCTCTACCTCTCACTCTTCCTCTACCAGCTCTTCCTCTACCTCTCACTCTTCCTCTACCAGCTCTTCCTCTACCTCTCACTCTTCCTCTACCTCTCACTCTTCCTCTACCAGCTCTTCCTCTACCTCTCACTCTTCCTCTACCAGCTCTACCTCTACCTCTCACTCTTCCTCTACCAGCTCTCCTCTACCTCTCACTCTTCCTCTACCTCTCACTCTTCCTCTACCAGCTCTTCCTCTACCTCTCACTCTTCCTCTACCAGCTCTTCCTCTACCTCTCACTCTTCCTCTACCAGCTCTACCTCTACCTCTCACTCTTCCTCTACCAGCTCTACCTCTACCTCTCACTCTTCCTCTACCAGCTCTTCCTCTACCTCTCACTCTTCCTCTACCAGCTCTACCTCTACCTCTCACTCTTCCTCTACCAGCTCTACCTCTACCTCTCACTCTTCCTCTACCTCTCACTCTTCCTCTACCTCTCACTCTTCCTCTACCAGCTCTTCCTCTACCTCTCACTCTTCCTCTACCAGCTCTTCCTCTACCAGCTCTTCCTCTACCTCTCACTCTTCCTCTACCAGCTCTTCCTCTACCTCTCACTCTTCCTCTACCAGCTCTACCTCTACCTCTCACTCTTCCTCTACCAGCTCTACCTCTACCTCTCACTCTTCCTCTACCTCTCACTCTTCCTCTACCCTCTCACTCTTCCTCTACTCTCACTCTTCCTCTACCTCTCACTCTTCCTCTACCAGCTCTTCCTCTACCAGCTCTTCCTCTACCTCTCACTCTTCCTCTACCAGCTCTTCCTCTACCAGCTCTTCCTCTACCTCTCACTCTTCCTCTACCAGCTCTTCCTCTACCTCTCACTCTTCCTCTACCAGCTCTACCTCTACCTCTCACTCTTCCTCTACCAGCTCTACCTCTATCCTCTCACTCTTCCTCTACCTCTCACTCTTCCTCTACCTCTCACTCTTCCTCTACCAGCTCTACCTCTACCTCTCACTCTTCCTCTACCAGCTCTACCTCTTCCTCTACCAGCTCTTCCTCTACCTCTCACTCTTCCTCTACCAGCTCTACCTCTACCTCTCACTCTTCCTCTACCAGCTCTTCCTCTACCTCTCACTCTTCCTCTACCTCTCACTCTTCCTCTACCAGCTCTTCCTCTACCTCTCACTCTTCCTCTACCAGCTCTTCCTCTACCTCTCACTCTTCCTCTACCAGCTCTACCTCTACCTCTCACTCTTCCTCTACCAGCTCTACCTCTACCTCTCACTCTTCCTCTACCAGCTCTTCCTCTACCTCTCACTCTTCCTCTACCAGCTCTACCTCTACCTCTCACTCTTCCTCTACCAGCTCTACCTCTACCTCTCACTCTTCCTCTACCTCTCACTCTTCCTCTACCTCTCACTCTTCCTCTACCAGCTCTTCCTCTACCTCTCACTCTTCCTCTACCAGCTCTTCCTCTACCAGCTCTTCCTCTACCTCTCACTCTTCCTCTACCAGCTCTTCCTCTACCTCTCACTCTTCCTCTACCAGCTCTACCTCTACCTCTCACTCTTCCTCTACCAGCTCTACCTCTACCTCTCACTCTTCCTCTACCTCTCACTCTTCCTCTACCTCTCACTCTTCCTCTACCTCTCACTCTTCCTCTACCTCTCACTCTTCCTCTACCAGCTCTTCCTCTACCAGCTCTTCCTCTACCTCTCACTCTTCCTCTACCAGCTCTTCCTCTACCAGCTCTTCCTCTACCTCTCACTCTTCCTCTACCAGCTCTTCCTCTACCTCTCACTCTTCCTCTACCAGCTCTACCTCTACCTCTCACTCTTCCTCTACCAGCTCTTCCTCTACCTCTCACTCTTCCTCTACCTCTCACTCTTCCTCTACCAGCTCTTCCTCTACCTCTTCCTCTACCAGCTCTACCTCTACCTCTCACTCTTCCTCCACTCTTCCTCTACCTCTCACTCTTCCTCTACCTCTCACTCTTCCTCTACCAGCTCTTCCTCTACCTCTCACTCTTCCTCTACCAGCTCTTCCTCTACCTCTCACTCTTCCTCTACCAGCTCTACCTCTACCTCTCACTCTTCCTCTACCAGCTCTACCTCTACCTCTCACTCTTCCTCTACCAGCTCTACCTCTACCTCTCACTCTTCCTCTACCTCTCACTCTTCCTCTACCTCTCACTCTTCCTCTACCAGCTCTTCCTCTACCTCTCACTCTTCCTCTACCAGCTCTTCCTCTACCTCTCACTCTTCCTCTACCAGCTCTTCCTCTACTACCAGCTCTACCTCTCACTCTTCCTCTACCAGCTCTTCCTCTACCTCTCACTCTTCCTCTACCAGCTCTACCTCTCACTCTTCCTCTACCAGCTCTTCCTCTACCTCTCACTCTTCCTCTACCAGCTCTTCCTCTACCTCTCACTCTTCCTCTACCAGCTCTACCTCTACCTCTCACTCTTCCTCTACCAGCTCTACCAATACCTCTCACTCTTCCTCCCCCTCTCATTCTCACCCTCCCTCTTCTCTTCCTCTCTCTGCAACGTCTTCCCTTCTTGTTGTAAAAAAAAAGGTGCTCACTTGTGGTCTTTTCATAGTACTTACTTCCTGATTGAAGTGATAACAATTAACCATTGAGGTGTTTGGCCAGGTGGCACATACATTGGCCAATTAGCTCATGTAGTGTCATTTTGAATGGCAGTGTTTTGAAATGGCAAACATGTGACTTTATGTCAGATTGTTGTGTCTTATGCAGAGAACCGTGTTCAGTGCATTTAAAAAGTGCCATTTTGAATTGCAAAATGTGTGTAAAGCAGAAAATGTGTTTAGACTTTTGGAGACTTCAGAAGAAGTTTTGCTCTCTGTGTGTCAGTTTAAATAATTGTGCTATGCATGTCATTTTAGTGTGTTAACGATTGGATAAAACTGTAACACCGAAACTGCAACAATGTGATATTGGTGTCTCTCTGTGTGATGTCACATTAAGTTGAGTCACTACGAGTCACGAAAGGCTAACGTGTTCAATGGGGTGTGTTCAGTAAGTCAAGGCTAAAAGTCAGTCATGTGGGGGTTCTTTAACGTTAGTGATACGACATGGTTATTGTGAAACTGAGCCCGTCACCCACCACCACATGCCTCAAACACTCACACGACACAGCCATCATTGCCATGCTCACCGACAAAATCTCTGTCCTGGACTATCACAAACTTCACTCAGTGGTATGGTATGCATTTTGTTGAAACTTTATGTGAATTTAATGATTAAGTATGTATATTGTTACTTTAATCATTATATTGGTTTGAGATCCTTGGTTAATTTGAATGACTTTGTTTGTTTGAGAATCAAGTAACGGTAACATTTATTCTTTAGGAAAACTTTGAGGGGAAATGTTGATTGGGATTTGTTTGAGACTAATGCATGTCTTTTCTGTTTATCTTGAAGGTTATCAACCTATTCCATTCCCTCATATTCCATCATTCTGTTTACGTCCATTGAAACCATCAAACCCAAAACCATCTTCAAGAAAATAAAAATCAAAGAATAAGAATTGAGTTGTCCTTTGCATCCTTCAGCAGTTGATCAAGCAGTTTTTCAAGTTTGGGCAGAGTTGTGGTCACAAAAACACAGAACTTGACAGTCATCCTCAAACTGAAAGGACTCAATGTTGCCCCCTGTTTCCTCCTGCTGCTCTATCAGAGCATGATCCAGCCCATCTTACTGTACTGCTCCACCTGCTTCTTCAACATGTTATCTGTAAAAAACAAGGCCAAACTCACCACTGTCTCCCCACTCCCAACCTAACAGGGCCATCACACAATTGCAACCTCAATAGAAGAGGACATCACACACCCACTGAACACTCACCTCCCCCCACTTCCCTCAGGACGGATGTATAGAGCACTGAGGTGCAGAATAGCTCGCCTCACTGAACAGGCCGGAGAGGGAACTCTTGACTCTTGTCTTACTCTGTTTGTGTTACACTCTGTGTTCTGTCTATGTATGTTCTTTGGTGGGACTTGTCTGTTTAGACAGACATTTCCCCATGGGGACAATAAAGTCTACAGTCTTATTGGACGGCTGCTCATATAAAGCAGGTCGGCAAACATGTGTAATGTCAACACCTTGAAACTTGTGGTGCAGGTAGTCCACATCAGTGATGAAGCTGTTGTAGGGAAGCAGGAAGCCAACTCCAGCTAACAGCATCGCAAAGTATATACCATGGTAACGGTCATCAGGGATTGGCTCCTCGAAGTCTAACAGAAGAAAACAGTTAATATTAAAATGAAGAACCAATCGGAACCCTTCAATACACCTGTTTGAAGTCTGAAAATAGGATCTGCAGCTAATAAGGATAAATAAGGCTAAACCAGCGGCACTGCTAGCTTAGCTTCAGTTACAGAGCAGCTAATGCAGCAGCAGAGTTAGCACTGCTAGCTTAGCTTCAGTATTATTAGTTTTAGTGTATACCTGGGGGTTAGGGCTAGTAAGGGTAAGTCTAATATATTTTATCAGAAGGAAGCTAAATGCTAACATAAGCTAACTTAAGCTGTTAGGTGTGACTGCATCTGTATATAGGCTATAGGTATATTTCTTAAGGTTGAATTTAAAAAAACAGCAAAAGGCCAACAAGTTATTCATGACATATAAAATATAAAACATTAAAACATTTATGTATTGTTCATGATATTCAGATTTTACTGTCACACACATACAGTAAGAATAGAAAGTCTCACCTGGCTCAGACAGAGCCAGCACTCCTCTCTCAGGGGCGTTTTTACTGATCTCGTCCTCCTCCAGCTGGTACGAGTCAAAGCTGAAGCTCTGCACCACGCCACTCTCTCTCCCCTCCCTCCCTGCATCCCTCCATCCAATTCGTCCTCCATCCCTCCACACCTCCCTCTCCTCGGGCGTCTGGACCGGTGTGGGCCTGCGGCGCTCCGCTCCCACCGAGCCCATCTCAGCACTTCAGGTATACACCCTTACACACACATACACACATATACACACATATACACAAGCACCCCTCTTTATACTATCAGTTACACCTTCATGGGATTGTTCATGTTAAAAATAATCACTGCTTCATGCCTGGGAGGAGAGGAAAGATCTGCAAAGAGACACACACATCAATAAAGATTGATTAATTGGTTGATTGATTGATGGAAGTGGAGTCCAGATGTGCTCTAATTCTACACACTCTCTCCTTTCAAAAATGAGTGAACTATTTTAAATTGTACATGTCGTCGACAGATGTGTAAATTCTTTGAATAATTGTCTCCCAGGTTTCATCTGAAATGTGCTCATGTGTTTTAAGTGGAATTAAAGGTACAGAATGATATTGGTGGAGAAGGTTAAGATAATCTGCTTGAAGTCTGTCCCCATTTTGAAAATCTAACAGGGATGTTAGAGATACAACAATAACAGTGTGAGGCCACAAAGCTCCGCAGTTGTAGATATGTATGAAAATTAGATCTAGGGATACCACATTTGTTTGCCAGAGATCCTGCAGAGACAATATTATGACATTAATCAGAGGTGTTTACATCTCACATCCAATACCAGTGCTCTAATATTGTCAGCCCAATAAAGAAGATGAGGGAGTACCAGACCACCATAAGCACGAGGTCTCTGCTGGATATATTTCCATACACGCAGGGTTTTGTTAATCCATAAACCTGATATAAGACTTCATATGGAGCTTAAGAAACATTTGGTCAGAAACACAGGGAGATTTTGAAACAGAAAAACCTAGGCAATATGTTCCTCTTCATTGTATGGACCCTTACCAATCAGGGAGAGGTTCAACAAAACAGATCATCCCACTCCACCCGGTCAAAAACCTTTTCTGCATAAAGAGACAGTAAAACAATATTGGATGGAGTGGGATCATAAAGAATATTTAAAAGGCACCTGATATTCAAAAAGGAATATCAGTTCTTTATGAAGCCTGTTGATAAACAACCCTTATCCTTTATATGTAAAAAGAAACAAAAACTAAAGTAATCACAATTTCAAGGCCCCCAGAGTGATGAGCTGGCCAACTAAAAGTCTAAAATCCAAGGACACATTTAGGACCATAAAAGATGGAAAGAGCAGTAAATCATCCGTTAAAGAAACTAGAACCAACCATTGTTCCAAATCATCACTGAAACCATTCATTTGTTAGCATTACAGTCGACAATTCATTTTCTATTTTTGCACTAATAGATTGATTGAGCAATCATTAAAAAAATGTTTCGCGATAAATGTCTTGTTGTTGAAATAATAATGTAGCTGTATCATGCAAAGTGTCATCTTGTTGATTCAGAGTAAACACACGTCTGTCCTCCCAGCAGCTGAAACTCTGCTCAGTAACCTGACAACTCCTACATACTGCGTTTGAAAATAAGGCTGCAGCCTCAGTTTTTTAAATCAAATTATGATGAGTTTAAAGAGGAAGAAAAATCCCTTCAGGCAGAAACCATCGAATGAATCTTCAGATTAAACACGTCAACATCACGTGTTTCTACTGTTAGAAATAAAATACTGTGGTCATTGACAGAAATGGACTCATGGAGAGGAGCACACAAAGATGCTCTGATGTTCAGGTTTCTCTCCTCAAATCAAACTGAAAACCATCCAAATATAAATCAAGAAATGTTCAAATCTGGCTTCTACATGATGTTTTTGTTTCAGCTCGTCCTCCGTCTGACGGAAACACAACAACAGGTTATTAACGGACCTTTACCTGCTCTCTCTCTCTCTCTCTCTCTCTCTCTCTCTCTCTCTCGTCAGCCTCCCCCGCCTCTTTTCTCTTTTGTTTGTTTTTACAGCAGTCCGAGTGGGAGTCCTTTCTGCAGCGGGAGGCTCAGGGAGGTGGATGGTGTCTTTGCCTTCCAAATTTAGTCTCTAATCACCGCCATCTCCATCTGACTGAACAGACGCTCCGCTACCGACCTTCACAACGCAACATCCAGCAGCAGCAGCAGCTAGAGGAGGGGAGGGGGAGGGGGAGGGGGAATAGCAGAGAGGGGGGGGAGAGGAGAGGAGGGAGAGTAGGG